ATGTGTTAATACTAAATTTAACTATTTGTATAGTTCCAATGAATATATATGCAATGTCACAAATGGTTACGATAAATTGTGTTCTGTGGAAGGTTCTGAAAGAAATCCACTGGAAATTGACCCCCCCCCCCCATGTACATTTTTTAATTTATTTTTTTCTGTAACTTTGTAACCTTGACCTAGATTGGGTGATTCATCTGTTTTCTATAGTAAAATTGACTACTTGTCATTTATAAAGATTATTAATGCTGCATGTTGATGTTAATAGATGCAGGGATTCCAGCACTTGTGCTGTGCTTTGCAACTGTGGAGGTCATGCGGTTTCTCAGAAAAGGGAGCTGAGTGTCAGAGCTGGTCCCTGGAATCTGGTGGAGGCTTGAACCTGGAGTATGTGCTTCTGTATAATCTGGGTCAAAAGCTTGTGCGCGTCTGCGCCATGGAATGCTGTCAGATCTGTCTGTAAGCAGTCCTACATTCGGTTCCATTTCCTTATGGTCAGTACCGCTTAGTTCCTCTGTGACGACTCTTGTTGCAAGGTCAGTTGATTCATAATATTGTTTGTGTAGTTTAATAAAACTTTTGAGTTCTCAGAGAATCATTTGTCTGGTCTTTGCTAGGTTGCTGTCTATATTCGGTAATGCTTTACACCTTCATAATGCCTTTATGATGCATTCATCGAACATTCAGTGCACCTTCATAATGCTGTTACAATGCATTCATAGGACATTCATAAGCAGCATGTAAGTATACCTTAACACCCAAACATACTTTAACAGTTGTGTACATTACTAACTAATATTGTAAGATAAATGTTCTAATCATAATGTTTATTATTAATGCATATTTAAACTGTTAAGGCATGTTAGGAGGTTACGGTATACTTACACGATGGGGGGGGGCACCATACTCCCTAATCAGGTATCTGATGTGATTCGGACACCCCTGCACCCCAAGCCACTTGGAACGATCTGTCAGACAGGTATGCCTCAAACCAGCAGAGCAGTCCTTGCCATGCCAAGTTGAGGGGGTGGCCAGGATTTCACGATTAATTGTCAAAAGCTGCAGAGAGGTCTAGAAGGATTGGGGCAGATGGCTGGGATGCAGTTCTTGCGGCTCTCAGCGTCCACAGCAATGAGGAGGGCAGTCAAAGTTGAGTGTCTAGGTTTGAAACCAAGACTGAAGATGGTCCAGGAGGTTGTTTTTAGTGAGAAAACTACAAACATAAGTAGACATTTTCAAGAAGCTGGAAATTTCGTTCTCGTGAGGCCTGAGGATCATTAAACTCATCATCAGAGAGCCATCTCCCGATGTTACACTATGCCTGAAACTTCTCTTAGGTTGCGCCTCTTTTTTTCCCCACATCAGGCATAGCGCTGGTGAGCAAACCCGCAATTTTCAACCGCAAGACTCGCTCGTATTTGTCGCCACCTCCGAGCTACACGGAGCTGCTACTCTGCCTTGAGCACCTTGTTAGTTCATCTGCCGGACGACACTAGGCTGCTGTAGGGATCTCCAAAATTCGGCTTTGGATAGGTGGCTGCCAGACTGATTTTTTTTTACTGCAGATGTGGAAAAGATAGCAACGATTCCCGCTTCTTTGAGCTTAAAACGGTAGGTTGATTTTAACTTAGACTTTTTCTTATGCCTCATGGTTGCATTTGCGCATATCGATGACTCCTTTCTGATTCTCTGTGAAATCCTCAAGTTTTTATTCCAACAACAGATGTATCCTGCTTTCGATTAACAGCGGCGCAATATAATAGCTACTATGAAAAATATCTTGCCATGCGGAAAACATAATGCGAATTACTATGCGTTTCTTGCAGATACTTAGAGGCACGAACAGTTACGAAGTCTACTTTAATAACTTCAAAGAGCTCTTATATTTATTTAAACTGGACAATATCAAGAAAAAAAACAAATGAACAGTTAATAGGCTACCGAACAGGCAATCTAACGCGGCGCGTAAGAAATGCTCTTTGTAGCCCCCTAACAAATGTGTACGTGTCAGCTTCATACATAAAACACTCGATTTCAGGATATTGCAAGAAAACGCAGGAGTCCTTTAACAGCCATATTTTTGCCTCTTAATATTTTGAGACAAAGTGAACACATCGACTGTGTAAGTTGTTATCGTGGATTCGGCTTTTTAGATAAATTTTAAAAGTGGAGCGTCTCAAAATAAGTAGCCTACGTCTGACAATTTTTTTTGCTTGTTAATGGTTATCATATTTAAATGTCGACATGTATTTATGTATTTAAATTGTCATTGTTTTAAACGCTAGCGAGAAGTGTTTGTATTGTTCTATCCTGATTTTTTTCCCCTCACGTGTTAATAATGTGAATAAAATGTGAAAATAATGACGAACGTTCCCAAATCAGTGTCTTACTATTTTGAAGTCACAGTGTAGACTGTAATCCCCCTGCCATCTAGTGGACGATGTGTATCTGTATACAGCACCGACGTCCTGAAAAGACTGACGTCCGAATTCGGCTTCACTTTTATTCAGAATTATTTATAAGTATGTTAACCAATATATCGTGTACCTCTTGTTTCTGGTGCTGTCACCGAAGACAATGGGTACATTCTCTAGGTCATTTCTAGGAATTAAGTCACGTGATGTCCAGCAGTAGCTACTACATTGTGTGTTTTTTTTTGGTCACTTGAAGAATATATTGGCAATGAAGAGCTTGATAGATTAATAGAAGCTGACAAGTCAGTCTCCAGCATTGTTCATGTTTCCATAGTGGCTACCTATATCACCTGCTATGTTATTATTGACTTCCAGTCACCAAGGGCCTGTATCATGAAGCAGGATTTTTTGTTTAGCCAGATAACTTGTTGGATTTTAAGTACCCCAGTTTAAACGGACTTAAGTTTTGTTTTCTTACATTTATACCCAGACTATCTTACATCTAATAAGTTTCCCTACTAAGTTAGACCTCCAGTATAAGGTGATACAGGCCACTGACATTTATTTTATATGTATCTATTTTATTCTGTCTATTGTGCCATGAAACTTTTCAGTTTCTTTTTCATCTATTGTTGGGGTTGGAATCTCTGCCATACTGTAATTGAAATAACGTAATTTTATCATTAGCAGTGTTGTGTGCTGTTACAGTCTTTCCCGTGTCCTTCCTTCCAGATTAAAAAAGCCGAACCTTTTATTTCTTGTTACCCAGTTATTGGTGAGTCATCCATTATGCCAGATACATGGCTGGCACTAAACTTGGACCCCAAGTTACCCTCTCAGCTGTACATGTGATTGTGTGTCTCATAGGAGAGCAAAAACAGAAGATGCGAAAAGAAGCATTGTAGTGTACCTGTACTCGTGCAAATGGAACCACTTTAATTTAATTTAATCCGAAAGTCTTCTAGTTCTGTCTATTTTTTTTTTTTTTTTGACGCCTAAGAGGCTGAGCTGTATGTAATTTCCATTTTTACCGTTTGGTTCATGTTCCATTAGTTATCCTTTGTTTGCAGCTTTAGATTTTCCTTTCAGGCATTGAAATATCATCAATGGAACATCTAAAAGGATTTCTTCTGACCGCATTATAGACATCAGCAATCTCCAAGGACTTATCTTTTCCTCAGTAGAGTACTGAGTGCCTTCTGACCCCAGAGGCTGTCTTCCAGCATAATTCATTTGTTTTTATGTTGCATTAGCTTTTATGTAGTTTTCACAGTTAGGTACAGGTATGGTTCACCTTGCATTATTTTCTGCAGTTTGAAAGCGCGTTGCCGTGGTCACTGTTCTGATCATCTACCCCTGTAGAAGTCTTGGCCAATGTATGTATGAGGTTTTGTCTGGCGATTTTGCAAAGATTTGACTGGCATTTTACTTGCTGCACATTCCATTCTATACCACATGTAAACTTCATATTTTTACATATATTCTACATTGGTCTCTAATTTATTTTTGTCTTTCTGTAGTTTCTATGCTATGTACTCTGCTATTATTTTCATTTTTCCATTTTATTTTTTATGGCATCATGCGCTAACAAAAGAATTTCATTGTGTGCACATATGACAGATTGAATAGGTGACAACAGTTGAAAACAACAGACAGCATAGTTCATCTCACGCAATATACTGCCATAAGCGCCATCAGGCGGAGGAAGTAAGTTGCTACTATCTTTTTTGCGTTTATGAAATCGTAATGGTACCGGATATAAATAATTCCAGTTATTTTTTTCTTTTTTCAAATTTCGGCAACAGACAATCCAAAATATGTTTCCGCCCGGTTTCGAACCGGGGACCTTTCGCGTGTTAGGCGAACGTGATAACCACTACACTACGGAAACGTAGACATACCTCGGGTTTGTTATTTTGTCACACGAGGAAGAGGCTACATAAACTCAGTAATACTGGTTCAGCTTTGAATTTTCTGTATTTATTTTTTTTCTGGTTTAATATTCGTTTCTGGTATATTTAAGTTGTGGGCTGACACACAATGGCATTATGTGGAATTTGCGAGGTTTGTGTATGACAAAGTAAATCGTTGGTCGCATGATTTATGAAATTATTATTATAGTAAAACGTCACGCTATTCCTGTCGTCGTAATTTATGAATAGTGTTGAATTTCTGTTCATTTATTTAAAAGAGAAAACTTAACTTTCCCATACCGGGAGTCGAACCCGGGCCGCCTGGGTGAAAACCAGGAATCCTAACCGCTAGACCATATGGGAGAAGTTGTTATACCTGCTTACTTCCTTGCTTGTTAAGACAAGTAGAAGGTATTTATTATTGGCTAAATGTAATATATATGTATATATATGTATATGTTTATCTCCTTACGCACTCCTAGAGTGGCATTAGACAACTGCATTGTTTAAGAGTGGAAGATAACAGGAAAAAACAGTACGACAAACAATAGAAAACATGTTGTTATTAGGAGGGTTGTCGACGAAAAGTAGAGACCATATAGTGATCCGTGGGTTACTCTATATTTACATAAAAGTTCTTCGTGCCTATTTTTATTTTATTTTTTCAAAATTCAGAATTATAACCAGCTTTATCGGTTTGGTTTGTCTCTGGTGTAAAGTTTAAACATTCCATGTTACTGCTTGGCAAAGAGCTGTGGCGTAGTATCACGAAATACAGATTCTTAAAGTCTTTCTGCAATTTAACGGTCAGTCAGTAGGGTACGCTAATTTAATTAATAAATTCCTGAAAATCAATGGCGTAGGAGAGAGTTTGATGTTGTCGGGGGAGCAACACGTCTAAAGTTAATCATTTAAATGTAAACGTTTATTATTTGGAGAGGAGGAATGAAGAAATATTAAATATTAGGTTTCCTTGGTTCCTACGCCCCTGTCGAAAATGGTTTATAGGTTAAAAGCGGTGGTTATAAGGCGCGATGTAAATGTGTTTGCAGCAGGAAGCGCATCAGTGCATGTTGAAAGATAAAATCATTTCCTCATGCAATGAATGCGACGGGACACCGCGGAGACCAGCAGTCCGTTGGTCGGCTTGCAAAGCTGCGATAGCTCTGCACAATGAGGGAAGTGATGGAGGACGTATTCATGCTGGTCATAGTCACCCTGCTGAGCGTCCTGCAAAACGGTAGGAGGAATTACACTCCCTTAAATATGACAAACAGGCTTTTCTCTCTCCGTGCAAATAGAACTGAGCTGTGCATTTTCTCCGCTGGAGACAGATATTACCAGACTATTTCATGAGTGAAAATATGTAGAATAACCCATGAGTAAAACATTTTGGGTCCTTAATTGTATCAAAGTTGCCAACTTTGATCAGCTGACTGGAGTGAGATATTCAATTTGAGTCAAGTCTGCACACGCATGCACACGTATTTACATGTATGTAGTAGTTTTATTATCTTGTAGTTTATAGGGTTTGCAAACTACCCCAAACGGTTTTGATGTAACTAATATAATAGAATAATACAGATTTACCGTAATATTTCTCGCGTAAGACAGTCTCGCCAGATGCGAGAGAGTAGGCGTCCCTGCTGGATGTGTACGTGACAGCGGCGCTTATAGCTGTGTATGAGGTCTGCTTGGACCCCAGATATCTCAATAATAATTAAAAAGCTTAGTGTGATGATGTTGTGAGTGGATGCTATGCAAAGACGTCCGGTGTCCTAACAATAGTTTCACTGCCTTTTTTTCCCAGTCTCATTTGCGAATAAGGTTGAAAAAGAATGCAAGACGGCCAATGCAAAAACGGCTGTTTACGAAAGAGTTTACTGCGCGAAGTAAGTGCCCCAAGATACACTTAGAGATCCGAGCAAAGAAATACACTTCCAGACAGACTTTCTGATCCCTTTGGTGGAGAATTATTTTGTTACAAAGTCAAACATTATATTTGTCTTGGGCTATACCTTATTTGCCTCATTTGTTTTTGCATGTTGGGTTAAATTTTACAACAGCCGAATTTCATGTTTTGACTAACCCTGCAAAGATAATTTGTTTAAACGAAAAAAAGCACAGGAAATCCTCTTGGAAATTACAGTAACATCCCAGAAGAATTAATTTCCTTCTAGCTTCAAATGGATATATATACCTTCAGATTTGCATTAAATTGCAAGTAGTAATAGGGGATAAGTCATGCTTTTGTTTAAATTTTGATCATTCACTAGATGTTTTCACCCAGAAATTGGAAACTATAATTTAAAAATTTTGGTTTCATAATGTGTACAAAAATAGGGTGTTCCGCCAAAGGAGCGCACGTACCGGAAAGACATATAATGACACAGTCTATTTCGGAGAAAGTTATTTATGAGGTTGATCACAATAGCCTAAGAAATGTATAGTTTTCAACATATTTGAAATTTGAATTTAAGCGTTTCAAATTCCTTGACATGGTTTACCTCCTTTTTCAGATTATGTTTTAATTTGCTATAACAAAGCGACTCTTTACTTAACTGCTAAGACACGAGTTCATACCTCAGTGTAAGACAGACGCAAGCTACCTGCACCTCCGTTTTTGCACGTGTTGCATACGGAGATGTTGCCGGTGTTCTGTCGAGTTGAGCTACTTTGTCGAGTTAGGCTACCGTAGTGCTAATCGATAGCCCTAACCCTAACTCTTACTCTAACCCTAACCCCCCAAAAACCCCTAAAACCCTTACTCTAACCCTAACCCCTAAAACCTAACCCTAATCCCAAGACAGTGGAACTGCACATGCTCAGAAAGGCTCGATAGCACGTCTCGATAAGTAGCTCAACTCGTCAGAACACCAGTATATAGTCCATACAGCTGAACACATCCCATCAGAACACAAACTCAGCAGAGGAGTTACCAGACATCCCTTCATTTCACATGGTCTTTTCTGTTCCTTTACAGTCGGAACTGCATGGACACATATCCCACCTTTATCGCTGTTATGTGGTGTGCTGGCATATGTCTGAGCCAAGGTAAGGGAGCTGATGATTGCAGTGATTTATTCAGCCATTAAGGGCAGAAAGAATCCAATATCCAAAGCCTAGCCCTGCCCCGTGTTAGCTGACATATTCCCTTCCACAACACCATGGCCATTCAAGCCCCAGGAATTAACCAACAGGGGTCATTGCAGGCTGGGGTCATCTTGGTCTTGAGATTATATCTGGCTGCTGAAAAAGCTTATGCCTGGTGATTTTTTGACCCCATTACTAAAATATGATGTACAACATTGGCCAGAATTGTGGAAACTCTTCCAATTTTAGAGATTGCAGAACTTTATTCAAATGTTGCTCCAGTTACTTATTTAATCGTCCAATGTATGATATTTGTAACATTCTTTGTAACATTCTTCATATTTGTAGCATTCCTTATAGACATTGCCGCCAATACTGGTGTAGTAATTTTTAATGCGCAATGCCAAAAATGCTATGTGTGTCCACAATTTTGGCCACTAGCATATAAAAGCACGCATTATGTGTGCTGTAGCTGTCATGTCAGTTTGGTTTAGGGTTGTTAGTTCCATCTGAGCACAAGAGAGGAAATCCCTTCAGTTGGCAGTAGCTTCTAGATCCATTTCTTTCCACCAATCTAGATGTTTAGTTGCAGGTTTCGGAAAGGCACCAAATCTCCTCTAGCTTGTCCGACTCAAACGACAACGCAGAATTCTGTAGCTACCCTGCCTAGCTGGAGCTTAATGGTCAAAGGTGTTTTGTAAGACCATCTAAACAAACTTTATGCTAACTTTCTCCACCAGCCATAGCAATAGGTGATGTGGTTGCGAAACAGGAAGTTGAGAGATATTCAAGTGAGCAGAGGGTAATTTGAAAGCCACAGGCAGTTATATATACACATTAGGTACAGGGCTACTTAGTCAAGGCTACATTAAGCCAAAGGCACATGGGACACTAAATATATAAATTCTGATATATTCATTCTTGTTATGTGTTTGTGTGTTAAATTTTTGCTGTAGTATCACCCTGTCCCAATTGTACCTTCATCTATATTACACTGTCCTCAAACATTAATAAAAAACATTTCAAATGTGGAAATATGCAGTACTGTAAAGGTTATACATGTATGAAACTGAGGTATGTATGACTGAGTTTACTCATTTTTCTCTTTTCTTCACTCCAGCACCGGCTGCCTTTGCGGGAATTATGTACCTGTTTGTTAGACAGAAGTACTTTGTGGGATATATGGGCCAAACGCCACAAAGGTATCTTTCACTCTCCTTTGGGGTTGGTTTGTCTTGGGAGGTCAAATTAGCAAGAAAACTTTGTTTGGGAACGCTTTACATTCAGTGCACCTTCATAATGCATTCATTATGCATTCATAGAACATTCATAAGCAGCATGCAAGTACACCTTAACATCCTAACATCCCTTAACAGCTTTAATATACATTAATAACAAACATTACATGATTATACAAGTATAATGTTTGTTATTATTATTTAATGTTAATGTATATTACAGCTGTTAAGGGATGTTAGAATGTTAAGGTATACATACATGATGTTTTATAAATACATTATGAAGGTGTACTGAACGTTTTATGAATGCAATATAAAGGCATTATGAAGGTGCAATTAATGTAAAGCGTTACCCTTTGTTTAATTCTGAGCTGTTTTCAGACTTAATTTAAATGTGATGGAGATTTAGTACTAGTCAGACTCATATCTTGCAGACTTTATGCAAAAGAACGGGGCGGGGCCACTGTCCCACTGGGAAAATGCCCTCTACGCCAGACGGCTAGTCTAGGCCTGGTCATAAGGCTATGATTACTATGTCCTGATCCTCTGCTCTTGTTCAAATTCAAATTTGAAATATTGTAACAAAAGTGTCCTAATTGACCATTGATACAGAAGCTTTTAAAGGCTGTAAAGTAGCATTTGTTCTAAGAGAAGCAAATTTTTAGTCTCATTCGAGTTAATAAAAATGATCATTGTATTTTCCCTTTGCTGATGGCTAAGAATAATTTGTTCTTCTGTTTTGGGATTATGGTGTCATCTCGCTGCCACGAGATTTATTTGAACTGTATTGCAGCCCAACTTCTGTGATTAATTTTGGGTACTCATGACTCTTAATTTTTTCGCATCATTTGTATACGAGCAAATTATGCATAAGCATACAATAGGGGGATTCCCTCAGCTAGATTCTATCTTCATGCACCTCTGCAGTGACAGACCTGAATGCAGAGATGCAAACAAACTTGCTGACGTGCCTAGACACACAGGCACATTTGCATGCATGTATGCAAATACAGGAGGCGCATGCAAACGTGCCTGGCATGCAGTTGTAGCACCTGTCTTTTGTTGCGCCGCTATCTTTTTAATTTTGAAACACAAGGCCTGGGTTGCAAATGAGTTTGGAGAGTGAAGCAAATGGTAATTATGCTTGCATCATCATATTTTTTTTCCTCTTTGAGCTATTATGGTTTCACAGTAGATTATCTGCAGTGGTACTCAATTTTGATACTTAAGTAAAAGTTCAGATTTCACATGAAAGTGGTACTTGAGTAAAAGTGAGTGTCATCCAGTGAAATACTACTCTAGTAAAAGTATAAAATACCTTAAAAGTGCTTAAGTATGAAAAGTAAAAAGTACTACTCATTCAGGTTTATCTTATAAAGAGCAACCTATCCTTTTAAACTCACTAAAGATGGGTTTGAATATAACATTGTAAGTTATAGGGCATCACAATAAGGAAACTGAGTCGCAAGAGGATAAGTGGATATTCTCTTTTTATTCAGAAAATGTTCCATTTGTAGGTAACTTGGTAACAGTTGGAGGCCACTGCAGTTGGCAGTGGTGAAATTTGCCAAAGCTCCCCTATGCAGTTTAGCAGAATAATACTACACTGTTTTTTATTCTGTGAAAAATGAAAGACTGATCTGCGGGCCAGATGCAATAGTAAGTTATAAATATGCTGCCAGCCGGTGCTTTGAGACTTGGTGGTGAATGCAGTGAATGAACTGGCGAAATCCCCCATCCTTCACTGCGGAAAACGGCTTATTGACCAAAGCAATCCTCTCCTTTATTTTAGTGGTGTCACTGGTTTGCAGCATGGTGACACTAACCGCTGTTGCATCACATGGCTGTTGCCTCACGCCTCTGGGCCCGGGGTCTGAGTCTCTGCCCTGACTCCATGTGTAAGCAGTTTGCACGCTTTGTTCCTTGGGTTCTCCCATTTCCAGCCACAATCCAAAACTGTGCTAAGGTGAATAGGAGTTAGGGAATTGTCAGTAGCTGTGACTGTGAGCGTGCCCTGCAGTGGGTTGGCAACACATCCTGGGCTGTTCCCTGCCCTGCGCCCACAGGCTCTGGACCCCTGAGACCCTGAATAGGACAAGCGGTGCAGAAAATGGATGGATGTATTTAGCTCTGGTGCCAGTAACTTTGAACATTGATAACAGAAAATTTAAATATCAGTGTCACAACGTGCAGGTACGGAGCGGAAACACAGGAGCAGAAGTCCAGGGAGTTGGGGTAACGTAGGGTTTATTTAGGAGGAAACACACTTGGGAACATGAAACAACAGGCATGGATAATTAACTGACGTCAATGACCGGACTGGGGAAACATTCACAGAAACTCACAAACTCAGAAACTTGTATATACAACAGCAATTAACACAACTAGAAACAGCTGGTAAGATGGGGATTCCACACAGGATCGATGAGGGGGCATGGCACACAAGAGGATCGGCACGATCGGGGCATGACAATCAGCCAGTAATACGGGCATGTTATCCTATATTCATAAAGACAATATGTAACGATGATGATGGTGATGATGACTGGACGATAATAATAATAAAAAGAGATAAATATATTGCTCAAGAATCTCTCTATCCATGCATTTTGTATACTCACTTGTCCTGTGCAGAGTCATAGTTGTCTGTTGCCAGTCCCAGAAGCGATGGACACATGACAGGGGAATAGACCTAGAGAGATTCTGAGTGAAAAAAGTCATGCTTCATATTTTACCCAGAATCATTCAGCCCTACCCTCAGATGCGGGCATGGCACACACAAGGATCGTACGGAGCTGGGCATGACAGTAACAAAATGAAATGACATAAGGTAACAAAATGAAATGACATAAGGTAACAAAATCAGTCCTAAAAATAGAGAAATATATCAAAAGTATCTAAAAGATTAGTTATAAGTAAACATGAGAGTTTTTAAAGAGCAGGTTGCAGTTACTGTATAGCTTATCACATTTATTTTTGTATATTTTATTTTACTTTCTAATTTTGTGAGTAATCATGGTCTCATGCAGACTGTATTAGAGTAAAAAGTCATTATTTGACTCAGAAATGTAACAAAGTGATAGTAAGAGTTACAACAACTTAAAACACTCAAGTAAAGTACAAATCTGGAAAGCAAACTGCTCAACTAAAGTAATGTTGCACCTCTGATTCTCAGTTAATAGGAAAGAAGTTTTCTGAAGAACCTTTTGATCCATTAGAGATTAAGTGAGGTAATTTTTCTTGACTAATTTCATGTTTGATAAATTACTATAGCGCTACACTACAAAGACTGCTGAGCACAAGGTTTGTTCCATCCCAGATTCACAGCTGCTCTCACAACGTTGCCAAGCAGTCAGTCATGTTATAATGTGTGATGTTTTGACACTGACAGTGACACCAGCTTCTGCCCCATCCCCCCAACAGCACCCCTGGGTACCTCTTCGGCAAGCGCATCGTCGCTTTCCTCTTCGTCATGTCCGTCGTGGGCATCATCAGCTTCCTGCTTGCCGAGTACTTTGCTGTCGACTACAAGGAGTACATCCGCACCATGACTAACGCGGCCTCTGCTCTGCTCTTGATTCCCTGAGAAGACCCGCCTGCTCAAAATAGTATAGCAAGACTTTGGTTGTTCAGAATTTGTTTCTGAAATGGATCTTTTTATTTGAAATAAAAAAAGTCATTCAAATGATTTTTAAAATGTTCATTTAACTAAATAATCATCATCAATGGTTGAGTTTTTTTTTATTTTTCAAGGAGGGGTGGTAGGGGTCGTACAGTCAGGTCCATAAATATTGGGACATCGACACAATTCTAATCTTTTTGGCTCTATACACCACCACAATGGATTTGA